ATATCGTAACGGACGTCACGATGATCAGATGTTTTTTTGTTATTAAACGGAGAAGATTAAGAAAGCTAAACATCTCTCTAAAAAGAAGTGTTGTTCGCAAAAATACCGATGGACGGGAAGGTACAAATTATGCACAGTCAAAATGAATATTACAAGTGCCAGTTCTCAGTTGGCATTTTTCGGTATTGCAACGAAATAAGAAATTAGATCTATAGATATCTGTGCGCCTATACTGTGAGAGAAGAAATATGTAAGAAATAAAAAACAATATTTATTCGTTGGGTATTAATAACATATTTACTTATACTAAAATAAAATATATAAAATTAATAAAATATATAAAATTCCTTTCCCAAATAAGAAAATATACATTTTCTTAAAACGCGTACAAATTTCTTCGTGGAAACAAAATTCCCAAAAAATTTTTTAAATTCGTGCATATTTTTAAAATTGAGAAAATCTCTCAAAATTTGCTAATTATTATTATTTAAAAATAATATCATTTCATGAAAAGAGAAAAAGAATCTCGTGTATTTCTCCTTTATTGCTCTCTTGTGAGTTCTAACACTTCTTTTTCTTTGCTTTATGAAACATCAATTAATACGCATCACGATTAACTTTTAATAAGTCAGAAAAATGAATGTTTTCAAAAATTTGTGTAGAGAAAAGTATTGGAGCAATTAAGATGCGCGGGCTTTTTTTATATATGTTTATTGAATCACATGTTGATGGCATTAAGTTGGGAATTGCAGCAGGTACATCTTTACTTTGTCGAAGTGATTGAGAGACACTGATTAATACGAAACATAAACAAAAGAAATTTTCTTAATTTATATGAGCATCAGTTCGTGCATCAGTTGAGCTGAAAGTAAAAACTGAATATGAACAGCAGCCTTCCAAATATTTTTTGGCTAAAATTCTCATCTTTTGCATATAAAATGTTCAAAAATCTTGATAATATCCAGGCAACATCATGATATTGCTGCCACATGGCGAAAGTGCAAAGGTACCATCAAAGGTGTATCAAAATTGCTTCACCCGGTCGAGCAATAGAAGATACAATCGCCGATGCGATTTTATTAACGCCAGTTCTCAGTATCATTATTTATTGAGAAACTTTATCGCTCGGCAAATGCTGCACTTTTTTGATTTAGTGCCCTATCTGCATCGCGTCACCCGAATGATAAACAGTCATAAACGCGGCGAAAGTACGCGACACGTGTAAGCCCTGTCACTTTTGACAGTGCGCCCAAACACCAGCCAAGTTGTCTGTACTAATATCTTCGTGATAAAGTGTGAGAGAGAAAGAGAAGTTACCATTTCCGTTACGCTACGTATGGAGCACTGCTGTTGGGTAAAACACGCGTAAATTATATCGCCGCCGGCGGCGGTCCCCCTGTCATTAATCGCGTCTGATCGCCGTTAAACGAACGAAGGGACGGGCGCTGTCGTGACATAAATCGAGACCACGAAGAAACGCCAGCCAGCTAGACGACGAATTCGCATCAGCCGAGTCTCTCGCGCGTTCGTTGACGGAAAGAAAAGGATAACAGAAGGACGGAGAGAGAGCGAGCGATCGAGGGGACACTTACCGAAATCGAAGAACTGCTTGATGGAGAGCGGTGAAGGGTTAAACTGCGAGTAGAAGTCCAACATCTTGGCGATGCCGTTGAGGCAGTTCCGTGTGAGCTTCATCTCGCGATGTGTCGTCGTCGTTACACATGAACTCTGGTCGTCGTGCGTGATCGACTTAACTGCCAAGCAGGAAAACTCCTCGCCCAAGAATGATCCCTCACTCGTCTTTCTCTATCTCTTTCTGTTGGTCAGCTCGACGAGAGCACACTTCGTCTTCGCACGTAGCATACGAGGATAAGCGCGACGCGCCGTTGATGTTCGTCGAACGGTGTCCGGTGAGATTCACGTCAACGAGTGCCACCGAGTGCCGAAGGCTCCACTACCGAGCTTTCTGCGGCTTACGCGGAGTCGCGGCGGGCCGCGCATGCGCGCGTCACGCGCCGCGCGTTGCTCGCGCCATTTAATTATGATTTGGATAAAGCTGCGTTCGACAGAAAAGTACATGTTCTTTAATTAAGATTAAGAGTATATATTAATCAGGGTTGTATTCCAAAACGTCCTTTTTGAGGAAATTTTACTCGATACTCTATAATATATGTAACGTGAATTATAAATATTGAGTAAAATTTTCCTCGAAAAGGATGTTTTGGAATGCAACCTAAATTCTTCAATAATCGCAAAGCAGCTTTCTCTGCTGAACACGCAGCTACTTATCAGTCACGACTGCGGCTTCAAGTGATTTGGAGTACAAGTAGGTCACAAAATGGTTTAGACACAATGAACTTCAGTGCGTAGCCAATGGTCCAATAAGAGGGCGAAGTAGTAAGAAATAAGTTATCTTATTGGATCATCGGCTACACTCTGAAATTCATTGTGTCTAAACTATTTTGCGACTCACTGTACCTCAAATCATTCGAAACACAAAATGCGAAATGATATTCCACAGTGTAACGATATCAGTGTGACGTCCACGTCACTTGACACCTTTGTTGCGAAAATGGCTACGAGACAGCAATGTTATTTCATATGATATATAATGAGAATTGTGATAAATATTTCTGTTTAATAAATCGCATTTCTATGGGATGAAAACTGCGTTTGACCGAGTTTAAATGAGGAAAAGAAAGTCTGTGGCCGGTATTTATAGTCGAATCTTGTGAATCTTTAATATCATCTTAAAAAGTCAAACGAGAAATTAAGATCATTTTATGCCAGTTTCTACCAACTTTGGTTAACTTGACCGGCCGAATTGACCAATCGCATCTGTCAATTTTGGGTAACAAAATTATGCGATTGGTCAACTTCGTTGAAATAACTATCCGGTTTAAGTTAATCAAAGTTGGTAGAAACGGGCATTAAGGGCCTTCACATACAAATTGCCGTAGCCGTAACTTGAGAAAGTCCTGAGGACGAACAAATGTACTCAGGACTTTTTCAAGATGTACTCTGGATGTCCCCTGGACATATGTGCTGTTAGGGTTGTAATTAGTTAATTCTTACGATATGTTTTACGTTACTGTTATGTTAATTTGTATGTGAAGGCCCTAAGGAATTAAACAAAAATTTAACATAATACTTATTGCAGTAAGACACATTCGCAGTTAAAGTTTCATGTCTGTATGAGAAATTTAATACTGTTTATGAGAAATTTAATATTAAATATCACAATTTTGGGACATATAATCTTATAATAGAAACGATGCACATATATGACCATTATTCCTATATAACTTCGTAAAAAGTGAAACTTACCATTATAAATGTTATATAGTAGGAAATAGGACAATAAAAGAATAGTATTCACACACACTACAATGTTTTTATTTAATGATCGATTATAGGAAAACTGCTTACACTTTGAGCAGCATTGCACTGAGTGAAACATAGTATTATGTAATTAGTTTCAAATTAATATTTATTATTTAGATAATAAAGTAAATATACAAAAATATAATTTTGTTCGATAGTGAATTTATGAATATTGATGCGCCACTGAAAATATGTCACTTAAGCGCCCTGAAAATACATACCTGATAGAGATGTGCGAACTATTCGAATCCGAATAATTCGAAAATTTCGAATCGAAAAAATTCGAATACGGATCACGCATATTAGCATTAACAAAGAACTATTAGAGACATCCAGCCTTATGGGAATTAGCATGGCTTGAAAAGTTTGCTATACATTAAGATTTTCTTCAAAAATATTAAAAGAAGATAATGGCTTCTAGATAAACTCTTACCGACAACTGTCGGATCGATGTGTCGTTGCGCAGCTTTCAAGGCTGGAACTGTATTTCATACACGCGTTTACTAACTATTAGATATATTATATATCTCTTATCTTAAAATGAATTGATATCACATGATCAATATTATTCCTCTCTGTTAATTACTGAAGTCACTATTTTCATGTTGAATTAAATAATTATGTTAATTAAAAATTCTTTTAACGATTCGATTCAATTCGAGTGAAATTTCATCGATTCAATTCGAATTCGAAATTAAAATCTGATATTAAATTCAATTCGACATTAAAAATCTTTGATTCGCACATCTCTAATAATGATCATCACCTCAAATGGTGAATAAATTCCTGGAATTCATCTTCAGATGCTGTTCTGATCACTTCATTAGTTACAAACTATTTCAAGATAAACTTAAAACGATCTTAAATACTCGATAAATACCGTTCTATACCTGTTCGCTGATTCACAAGCAATGGCTGCGTTCAGCAGAGAAGACTGCTTTGCAACTATTGTAAAATTCGTAAATCTGATTGGTACACGCTTTTGGATTCAACCAAAATTAAGAACACATTCCAATCAGATTCACGAATTTTACAACAGTTGCAAAGCAGCTTTCTCTGCTGAACGCAGCCAATGTTCTCCGTTCCTTTCGTCGATTTGTATCCCGGAAGTGGAGAACGCCATTTCGCAACGCCACCTGCTGCGAGCCACGATGTGCAGGGGGACAATTAACCTCTTTATTCCCACATGCTTCCTACCTAGTGACTTTCACCGTCTACCTCGCGCATTCTACGCCAAATGATATCCTCGCAGCTTCCAGACGACCTCGTTCTGCGCGCGGAACTCGCGACGGAGGCGAGGAATGCGCCCGGTCGCTCGTCACATGTGCAGCGCGACGCGTCGTTTTAGGTTAGGGGTCCCGCGTACCTGTCGTGACAGTCTTCTGCTGGACAGGCAGCGCCACCGACACGGCCCGCGCGATCCTAAGCTCGCGTTTCTTCGCGATCTGTCGACTCCAACGTCGCCGGAGAGCCGTGAAATACTATCGAAGTTGCTTCGCACAATTTTTCCGAGCATCCTGTGGTCGACAGGAGCCTTCAATCGCGCGACGCACCATCCGCTGGCACGCAGAAATATTGCTTTCATGACTCACGTGGTCATTTCCGGTCGAGACAAGCCCATGTGGACGGTCGTAGCAGCAGTGGTGGCCCCGATCAGTCCGTGCTGTGAACGTGCTGCTGTCGCTGTCTCGTGCACAGGTTGCCTCACGGACGTCTCAAGTCTCTCCTCGGCGTGGTATACAAAGACGAACGCTCGTTGCGTCCACGATGGCAGACCTGGACGATTTCTTCGCGAAGAAGGACCGCAAGAAGGCTAAAGGCAAGAAGTTCACGACGACTGACGAGGTCGCCAAGAAGCTCGAGGAAACGGGCAAGCGGCTGGAGAAGCCCAAGCTGAAGGAGAAACCAGCGAATCCTGAGGGCGAAGAGTCCCAGCAAACGGAGGTAAGAACGCCGAAGATGTCGTGATCGCGACGACGGTACTTGCCCGTACTGGCGCGTTTTCTCCAGAGGAGTTCCGGAAAGCGTGTCCGTGCTCATTCACCGCTGCCATGTTTGTTCCCCGTGAACGTAATACGGTCGGCCTGTTCGCGTGGAGCAGCCGACGACGAAGACGTGTTGGTAGGTCGATCAACAAGCTCGTTCAGACGAACCTTACATAATCGTCGGCCGCGAGGAATTAATCGACACATCGTGGCAACCTTCTCGCCACGCGATTCTTCCGGACCTCTTCCTGCCGAAAAGTCCTCGTGGAATCTACATGATATCGCATCCGTTTTCACGTGTCATTATTCGCGGCACTTTTAATGTAATATTTTGAATCGATGAGATTTGTAGTACTTTTCCTTGGTATACTCGATAAATTTACTAATTGCACTCCTGTCGCTAATTACAGTATTTTATAATCTTTTTTCTTTTGAACTGAACTAGGTTGCACTTTTTTCCTTTAGAATGAAACAAATGTATAATCTAGCATCTTTCTTTCAATATCTGGCCTAGAAGCAGTAGTAGAAACTTGCTACATGTGCCACTCAATGTTGAGTAAATAAGTTAGCGTTGAGGGAACAAGAATTGTAATTCCAGTGCAACATTAGTTCAGCTGAGAAGAACAAGTCTATGATGTTATTACAAGTCACAGATGTGTGCACAAGGATTGCTCAGTGCATGAAGAATTCTACAAGTCGTAGAAGCAAATCAGTATGAAGCAACAGAAGTATTGTGTATTCAGTAAAGAACACTTAGTGGTGGCAACTATATAGATGACAACTGTATGAGTTTTTGCATTGTTTGTGGGATTAATATGTATATTTTAATAAACTATATGATAGTTCTTGCAACTGAAACTGAATAATTACAAGTACTATACAGGATGTTTAACGCAATCTGTTTCATATCTCGTGTACACACAGATTAGATTGTATTCAAACTGAACACAAAATTCCTCAACTATTTTGCAAACATGTAGATTTTTAGTTATTAATTAAAGAGGGAAGATTATTATCAATGTTTTATCGTACATGATTATCCATCAGTTTCCTTTAATTGAGAACTTAAAAACATAATTATTCACAAAATGGTAGAGGATTTTTTGTTCAGTCTGACCTAATCTGCAAGCTCACGATGCATAGAACCCTTTGCATCAAATATTCGGTATAATTTTTAAAATCATTCAGCTTTAATTGCGATAACTACAAAATGATTTATTAAACTATACAACACATTAATTTCACAAATACAGTGCAACTAACTGTACATAAATTCCATAAATAGTTGCCCCTGCCATGTCTTTCTCTCTGAGTAGAAGTATTGCTATTTACATATGCCGCTGTATCAATGGTATCTTGTTTCCAGGATGAGGATGAGTGGAAGGAATTCGAGGAGGAGAAGAAGGACTACAGTGGTCTGAAAATCGGACACTTGACAGTGAACGACAGTCTTGACGCGGAATCGGACGACGAGAGGGGCACCGGTGAGAACAGCTCTGACGGTGAGACGGGCGAGGGCGGCACGAAGCACACAGGACCGTGGAAGAAGCCGGATCTACCTCCGGAAACGCCAGAAGTGACCGCACCGCCGGCGCCTCCCCCGTCCACCACCACCGGGAGCAGCTACAAACCGCCGCAGTTACGGAACTTAATCACGTTCATAAATAGTGGCGCTCCGCGATCGCGAGGAAGAAACGTCGCGCCGGACATTCACAGCGAGGAATACTTCCCCACTCTGAATTCCAAGCCTCAGCAACAGAATAACGGCAGCAGTCCATGGGGTAGACGGTACGAGAAATAAGATATTTGCCATTTGCCGTTTCCTCGCTTAAAGTATTCGCGGGAATTTTAGAATATCTTTAAGATAAAAATACCAATGTCTGGACACTAATAACACTGATACCTCACTCTGCATATTCTTATTGTTTTGATGTTTGCGAATATTTAAATTTTCAATGTGAAATGTACGTATATATTCGATATATGTATGTACAATATCCTATATTGAAAGTTTAAGTATTTGTCTTTAAAAAAAAAAAGACCAAAATAAAAATATCCAGAGTTAATTACCAATGTTATTAGTGCCCAGGCATGGGTATTTTCATCTTATTCTGCGCCTGTTTATCATTTATCGTTTTCATGACTATAAGTATTCTTCCATTTTTAAGACTTCTGGTTCTACTAGATTGATGATGTTAGAAGCAAGAAAACTAAAATTCGTGCGTGCCATTTTTAAATAAAAAGACATTTGTATGAAAGAATATTTTTTAGATCGCTTGAATATATTTGTAAAAGTACACATACATATAAACACTGAAAACTATTATTTTCTCTTGACAGTCAACAAATAACTTTAAAATTAACGTGATCTCAAAATCATGAGAAAAGGTAAGTATAACGTGGCAAAATTATGAGAAAAGGTAGGTAAAGAAAAAAATTAATTTTAAAACTACTAACTGTCGAGAGAGTAGGATATTCTTCGAAACATTTTATAGGTATGCTCAAGTGATATAAAACGTTCTTTCATACAAATATCTTTTTGTATGAAAATAGCACGTAAGAATTTTTGATATTTTGTCGTTTCTAACGTCAATTCAGAGTTCCGCAGCAGTGGAACCAGAAACCATAATTTTGTCATCTCTTACATGTGCATACAGTTATCACTCTAATTAGCTTCTTGCGTTTGTATTTAGCGTCGTACAACTCACGAGATATCGCGTATTTAACAAACTACGTGTCGAGGACAGACTATGAGATACATACTTCGTTTGTGTATTGCCCTGCATGAAGAAAAAAAGATTGGTTTCATTAACATGACAATGTGTGACACAGCTAAATGCGTTGTGGTTGGAGAAAACAGAACTTCTGACTCTTGTAAAGCAAGTTCGTTTCTTAAGAACCAGAAATTCTGTTTTCTGAAACTAAAATGCATTTATTTGGGTCATTGTTCCGTTAATTCAGCCAATCTTTTTTTCTCCGTGCGTAATCGCATACTGATGGTATGCTGAATTCAAAGGAATTCAGCCTAGTTGTTTATCGACGTAATAATCAGACTGTCTTGAAATCATACGGCGTTCCTATTTTCTCGCAGAGACTCAAGAGAACAGATTTAAAAAGGATATATTGATTGTAGGAAGCGCGACGAGGGAGCATTCGAGGAGGTTCGCAATCGAGGTGGCAGCAGATCGTACAGCATGCAAGATTCGCAGGCCCAAGCACCGAAGCTGTCGTTGGGCAACAAATATGGCGCCTTATCGCAAGATCAGAGCTGAAAATACCTATCACAATCGAATCAAACGATAAACAATCAACATAACATCGTCGCCCCTCTCTGTTTCGTGGCCCAGCCGCGCCGGGAAAATATATTTTCTAGAATAGAATCCAACGTGTATTATAGTATGTACATGTACGTGTATGCCCCGGTTTTGTAAGATTCACGGGGAAACGCTATTCTTGCAACAGAACGACGAAATAAAATTAATCGCGGTTGTGCCCGATCGATACGGATCACCGATTTAGGTATTTTGCACGCGCCACAAACGGACTTTGTAAATTAACTCGAAAACGGAAATATCACGCGCAGGCTTATTTTCATACCGTATAGACGCGTACTCGATGGTAAAAATCAACTTTTGTATTTCATTTTTTAAATCAGCAAATAGTGTGTAGTGTGAACGCGTTGCTTCCAGAAGCGTCACGGCCAGCGGGATTTATGTGCCGGCGCTCAAAATACTCGGACGATTATCAACACTCGGACGACGTTCGTGTCCGCCAGCAATGCGCGATTGTTACGCGATATAGTTTAAAATGGTATATATCGTTCGTTGAAAAAGAAAACAAAGAAGTATTACGTGATTCCGCACTTTCTTTCGGTACGGTGCTATTCTAATTTTAACGTGCATACTTACTGCCACGATTGATTGCCTTCTCGTTGAGTGTTATTGGCATAGATAAGGAAAATATATGGCGTCCGAACAATGACTTAATTGCGAGATCGGCACGACAACTTCGCGATATTGAAATTCACGTGGTGGTTGATCTCGACGACTCCACGAGAACTGAATCACAAAAAACCAAGTCTTGAAAACCCTTGTGGGACGTTACTTGCGAGTCCATTTTCTCTCTCTTTCTCTTTTCTTTTGCTCTCCTCTTTCCGGAGAGTGTCGCTACGCTCAAAAACGATAACTTGCATCAACGAATGGAATTTGTAGGTGCATTAATATAAACACATTACACACACGTATACACGCAGTATTTTTTTTATTATCGCGTTACTTATCAATGATATATTCCTCTACGTCATTAGAGAATTTTTTAGTTCCTTTCGACATTTGGAGCATTTTTCTTAGTGAAAATATAAATCTATATAATAGTGAATCTATTGTCACAATATAGCAAGACACCCCAATATATGTGTGTATACGCGCGCGCATGTGCGTGTGTATATGTGTGTAATGTGTACATACATATAATTATTAATCGAATTACGGGAGGCTGGGCTTTGGAACGGTGCGGAAATAAAATAGACAAATCGACAACAAGAACGCGAACGTACACGAATGAGACTAATTGATAGTCACACGGGCACGAGGCATGCCTTAGGACGATGTAGCTAAATGCGACAAGCGAGAGCGTCGCGGTGGTGTTGTACACAAGTAGGAGGGAGAAAGACATATATGAGCATACACTCGTGTTAAATATACATAAAACAAAAAAATCTCACGTACGCCTCTGTCAACGGTCGATATGGTTCTTTCGTTTATGTGAGAATTTCTTTTCGTCGGCAGACAGCACGGCAAATAGATATCGAGTCCGTCGGGAAAACGGTCTCTCCTGTTGTCGGCAGACCCTCCCCGACGAGGAGGAGAGGGAAGAGGTGGATTGTTTCTCAGAACACGAAGAGGCGGGGAGAGGGATGCCGTACAGAAATAGAGGATAAGCGTACTTGTATAGCGAGTGATAAAATGTGATTATTTATAAATAAATTTCCTAGGATAATTCTCTCTCTCTCTCTTTCTCTCTCGTATGCGGTACCTTGCGGTGCCTTCGGAGAGCACGTTACCAATGCTGTTTAGCGCTAACGCGTCATTCTATCCTTGTACATCAAAAAAGAGCAATAAAGATAGAATGATACGGTAGCGTTGGTAGCGCGCTCCCCGAGAACGCAATCCTTGCGAGCATTTCTAATCTGCCGAAAGCAATCGTCGATTGATTTTCGTATCGGAGGAAAGCACAGCGCTCGACTATTCGCACGCGATCAATCGAACGTCTGTCACGAGCTCTCCGTCAGAGGAAAGCGAATCGACTTTCGATATTGAGATTTATTAACAGCGTCGGGAGAAATGTGTAGCTTAAGTGTGCGGAAACGCAACACCGGTGCCTCTCGAGAACGATTTCAAGGTGATTTTGAGTCGCCCGTGGCGGCACGGACTAGCCTGCCTTTGTTACAGAATAGTTGAAAATACACAACTTTATCACTATTACTAAATGAGAGCGAGCGATATGGATTGATAGGAATTGAGATCGCGCGAAGATGTGGGGTGGCGTATATTTAAAATAAAAGTCAATTACGATATATACACAGGTTGTTCCAAGTAACATATAATACACCTCAATAAGTCATCAATATCGTAGAACCGTTAGGACGTTAATGGCGTTAATTCCGAGCACTTTGGTGATACCTGGGTATCTCGGCTATTATCTTAATGTCTCGAGTACCACCCGAGTATCTGCGCACTCCCGAAATCACCCGACTGTTCCAATATCTAGGTCGCACTCTGACAATGCTAATTCGAAAAGTTACAATATATAAGTGCAAAAAGTATTCGATAGAATTATTAGGACCTTAACTTAGTTTCCGCCCGCAAATGTTAGATGGCAATGCAAACAGTTCTAGTAGTCATTACTAACGAAACAGGTAGTTTGTGATTAATTTCGACATTTCTCGATAACATTCAGTCAGCATACACAATTATTTTCCTAAACAACAATTTCTTTTGCTTTGTGAAAAATGGAACGCGATAAAGTGTTTTTTCGACATGTGCTTTTGCACTATTTTGATTTGAAAAAAAGTGTA